TTCAAACAAATAATGAAGATAGAATCACATCTTCGAAATATAGAAGATCTTCCACAATTATGAAAACAAATCCAAAATGTGTATTGATTGCCCCAAAGATCCCACAAGTATAAAACAAGCTCTGAAAATTGAATGTTGGGAAAGTGATATCGCAGATGAAATAAATGCTTTAGCTGAAAATGGTACTTGGGAAGTAAAAAATTTGCCACCAGATAAGAATGCAGTTGATAGTAAGTGGACATTTAGAATCAAAAGAAATTCTAATGGTGAAATTAAGCGATACATCCAGTGGGCTTATCTTCAATAGTATAAATTTGTAAATAGCATAAACAATTACAATTCACAAAAAAACGATATGCTAAAGTAATGGTATTTCCTTGATTTCTGATGGCTTAAAAATTTGCAAAAGTCTGAAACCCGATTGTGTTTTTCTAATTGCTCAAAATTGAATGTAAAACATTAAGACGACTACACTAAGCTACAAATGGAAAAATTGGGTGCTGTTAGCTTTCCTTCGGACTTCACACGAAAACATATTCCTCTTTAATTTATACGTTATCTTTAGAAACTCTAACTCCACGAAATTGGACTAGTAAAAGTGTAAGTAAGTGTGTAGGCCATTCCCCTCATCGTGAAGAAAATTATTCCGAAACATGGAATAATTCAAATGTTTACTGCTCCATATACTCAAAAGGACGGTGGTGCTGAAAGGAAAAGCAGAACCATTGTAGAGATGGCAAGATCATTTATGAACCCCAATAAGAATGTTTAGTTTCCAAAGTAGCTTTGGGTAGAATTTGTAAAATCCATAAACATTTTAAATCGAACGGCAAAATCATCATGATTGCGAGATATGGTATAGAAAGAAACCAAGAAGTAAACAACTCAGAATTATCGGATCAAAATGCTATGTTCATATTCCTAGTCAACGCCAGGAGAGGGTGGCCAAAAAGGCAGTAATGGGTTATCTTGTTGGATATGACGACGATGGGAGATATGGTGTCTACATTAAAGAGAAAAATATCATAGATTATAAAAAACAAGTAGACGATTATTTTAGTAGTCTTCAAGGTACACAGGAAAGTTAAATAGCTTTCGCCCTTGTCCACATGACAATAAATCAGATGATGTTCATGATTTTTAACAGCAAGAATCCAAAAAAAAGTGGTGCACTATGCCGAACTACAAGAAGAGAGCACCGAAACTGATTCAATAAGCGACTTAGAAGATTTTGAAGGATTGAACAAATCCAAAATGGAAAACGTCGAAGAGGTTGAAAACTGCTGAAAGTGCTGAGAGAAACAATAAAAACACAATACTAGTACTCTCGTAACCACCAAAAGGAACTCCCTTCGAAATGGATATATCAAATGAAACATTCAATCCAGTTGCAAGAATGTCTACTACACACAAAGAAGTAATATGGCTTAAAAGTCTTTTGAGGGATAACAAAAATTTTTATTGTACTCCAATGATAAAAATTGACAATACTGCAGCAATTCGTCTATCAAATAATCCAGAATATAATAAGCGAATGAAGCACATTGATCTCAAGCATTTTGTCATACGTTAAAAAATCATATATGGTATAATGTCAACATGCCAAGATTCATCCGAAAATCAACTTGCAGATCTAATGACCAAGTCCCTGCCGTAGCCTCGATTGCAATACTTATGTAATCATTTGAATATTAATTAATTAATGAAGGAAAAGTGTTGAAATATGTGTTTAAATTAATGACTACTGTATACCATATAGGGGATTTATAACATAGTACTCCTGATATTAATGTATATGTGTTCAGAAAGTACTTTTTCATTTTCATAACGTCTTCAAATAAAAATATATTGGTTGTAACGTAACTGACAACCGTTAAATTGTATACATAAAATGTTTGTAATTTTTTGCAATGAGTTCTGGTTAAATTATTTATTTTGAAAAAATTGTAAACATATGATTGCATGAATTTATCTTCTTAATTCTACTATGATAGAATGTTTATAATGAAACTTTTCATTACAGATTTAATATTTTTCTGATAAATTGTCGAATTTCACTGCAGTTTCTATTTTTAATGTTTATGACCATCATCATATATTATTTCGATAATGCTCCCATATGTTAGGGAGTCACGGAGAGTGATTTGAAGTGAACAATAAATTCCATTTTTGTTTATAAGGAATTGTGTAAATAAATATTTCATAAATTCCATTCCCATACCAAGTGTAATTGAGTAAAAGTGAAATGTGAAAATCGCTGTTTGACAGATTTTCAACTTTTCCATAGATTAATGAAAATATAGACAAAGAGATGTTCTCACCATTCGTCCATGTCGTTTCAGGGGTATGAATAAAAATGTCAAAGGCGTCAATCGTCATGTTGACTATGCAAAAGTGCGCTGAGAGTCACCTGCACAAAAACAAAACAAACTTCTCGTCGTCTATATATTCTTTAGTCTATGCTTTTACTCGCACAAATTCGTGGTATTTATGTGTAAAGCACCAGTTGGAAAGCTAATTGAACGCAATTTTTAGGTGTTGCATAACGTATTCGTCGTAATGTTCAGATACAATTTTCAGCAATTGTGAAAAAACAGTCGATTTTTCAGAGGGTGGCGATTTTGTTAATTTTTGAATATCATAAGTCAAGGAAACTGCATTACGGTACACCCATGGCAGAAGAATACAGGTAGATGCATCAACGCTTGGGAGCATTGATATGTCAAAAAAATTTAAATGTTTTTTCAGATATAAGTAGATTTTTATATACTTTCTTATACTACGTCATTTCAACAATTTTTACAAAATTAAATAATTTTTCTTTCAACATTTTCAATTCCAAAATTGGTTTGACAGTTCATTGTCCAAGCAGCTGTGCCGATGCGTCTACCTATATTCTTCTACCATGGGTACACCCATGTCAAAACAATAGAAGTAAACTCATATGCTAAATCGAATATGGCAACTCTTTTCTATAATTTTTTGTCATAGAAGTTATTCTGGGGAGAATATCCCAGACAAAAAACAAGGAAATGATGAGGATTGGTGGCTCTTTCCGAAACCTAGGTATTCCCTGCTTTACCCCCTGGTAAAGATTACCATCGTTCTCCACTAATAAACAAACGTTGTTTTTATAAAAACAACAATAAACGGATTAAGCATGACCATTTTGCAACAACAAAATACTATGGTATCCCGAAAAACAAGCCAACACTATTCTAGAAATAATAAATTATTTTCAGAGATCCTAGGCACATAAAGACAGTTATAAATCGTCGTTGTATTTCTTTTGGAAGACGTTGTATTTAACTTGTCTTAAGCTTTAACCATTGAAAAAAAGGATTTTAAACTTCTAGCTGTAAATGAGGAGAGGCAGAACAGAATCACTTCTAATTTTATTGTAAAACTATTTTTCTTAAGTGCTACAAAAACTGATCTTATTTAACCCAATCGCAGCCACACAATTATTCTTATATATTATTAGATTTAAAAGGGAACATTACATTTCTGATTTTCCCTTCATTCAAGTGGTCTTGGCTACCTACTGGCGCATCGATATCTGTGTGTGTAGGTTATGACCTTTATTATCCTACACATTATCGTATGTGACAGCGCACACGTTCACTGACCGCTGGGAAACTGACAATTTTGAAATATTTATTATTAATGGTTAGATTTTCCCAGCGCCTCAAACGCACTCAAAGGTATATTTTGTACACTAGTTGAAAAGATCCGGATGAAGCAATAAATTCTGATAATGTGAGTTCACCAAGATAAAATTTTGTATCTAAGCGCGTTATAAACGCACTCTTACAGTACGTTTATATATATGAGGGTTAACCCACTGGATTTGGATTTAAATTGTCATATCCATTACTTATACTTCAAATAAATCCTCTCAAAGTAGGTTAACCCTACAAAAAGTTCTAACGTAAACATGGCATTACATATTAAATCCTTGCCCGACTTAATCGTGATAGTTAACCATTCACAATAAATTTATCGTATTGTTTTCATAGCCAAATTTTTTGTGATTGGTGAATTATCAGGGTAAACGCGTACTTCTATGTAAACGTACCTTCATGGCAGATTAAAATAAATTTTATGTAAACCTGCTAAAGATTTTGTATATAAACGCGCAGCAATAGCTTCATAATATGTTGTTTTTTTGGCTTTTGAGCTACGTTTTTATACCCTCCACCATACTATGGAGGCTATATTCATTTTTTTGTCATTCCGTTTGTAACTCATCGAAATAATGATCTTAGACCCAACAAAGTATATATATTCTTGATCAGCGTAAAATAAGACGATTTAGCCATGTCTGTCTGTGTGTCTGTCTGTATTCGGTATTTTGAGGATTTTAGAAACATTATTCACCTGAATTGTTTCAAATTTGGTGTTTGCAGTTCGAAATGGATACTACAGCCTAAGGCAGAAAATTGTCTATGCAGGTCCAGGTCTTCGTATAGCTTCTATATATAGGTACCTCCCTATGTTCGGTATTTTGATGATTTTGGCTACATTATTCACAGTTTATTTTAAGTTTCGAATTTGAATCTCGTAATGGCTTGTGACAAACAATGCCTATGTAGGTGCACGTCGTACAGGCCCTAATAATGTTAACAGAATTTTTGGCGAATGTTATCTTTTTCGAAAAATTTCAAATTCGTTCTAAATGGTGGAGGGTATTCAAAGTTCGGCCCCGCCGAACTTACTGCTTTTTTACTTGTTGTTTTTCCTGGAGGACATACGCTGAAGCTAGTATAGGCCTTTTGTGCGCTCTAGACTAAGAAGTTGTTGAAAGAAGACCGAAGAAATTCAGTAGCCTTAACAAAATTCCTTGACTGTTTTACATGAACCATGGTCTGATTTAGGCCTGGAATGGAGTCGTTACCTAAATGCTTGGGCATTGGCAGAGAATGTGCTCCAATGTTTCATCATGCCATGCATATGCTGTTATCTGCACAACCTATGTTGCATGGGAATTGAATTTTAATAAATAAAATAAAAAAAAGACACCGGCAACAGTTCTCCGGTGAGTTGCGTTGTTTGCTGCCGGTCAGGAAAAAGTGAACCGGATGCGTTAAGTTCGGTGCATTGGTTGCATAAATTAGCGTTGCCAGCTGGCAAGAAATTTATGCCCAGAATATACAACCCTATCTATAATAAGGGATTGATAGGTGAGATAAAGAGAAAATAATAAATGTTGAACAAATGCGCGAGAAATGCTGATAAATAGAAATTTGCAACTGGCTGCGGCCATATAAAAGGCATAACGGGGCAAAATTTGAGATAGATTTTATTTGGTGCTTTAGAGAGAAACCAGTTTTTCCTTGATTAAAAAATCTTCAACAAAAAAGATTTATAAATTTGAAAATAAAAAAATCCAGGAAAATATACATTTTTTTTGTGTGATTAACGTTTTTATTTTGTTGTTGTGTACGCTTGTGCGTTCGTGCCAAAAAAAGTGAGTAATTGAAGATCGGTTTTATATTTGTTGGGTGCTTGAATGTTTGTGTGTTTTTTATCTCTCATATTGGTTAGACGTCGCCGACATCCACATCAACGAGTCAGTACAGAGCCCTCCTGGCTCATGAGCGGAGGAGGTCAGCCAAAATTTTTCTGGAATAGACGAGTAACTGGATATAGACCTAAAATTGAATTTGGCCCAGCAAATGGAGTCTAACCACAGAGGCATTGGGATTGTGGTTTAGGATTGCTGTCTGTCTGTCCACAAAAAGGAAATCGTGGTAATCCATGCTGATGTTCTGGATCTAAAAAGATGCTAGAAATGAAGACATTATAACTATCGGAAAACCAGGTAACTAAATTGCTTACCGGCTTTAACCTCCATTTTTAAAAATTGTATGCCGAGAGCCCAAATGTCTTTAAGAAGTCTAAAAAGAAAGACAAAAAAATAAGAATTGATATGAATATGTAACTTAAAACAATCAAACAAAACACCAAATTACATCAAAATTTAAAAATTATAAAAAAATAACGAAATATTTATGTATTAGTTTAAGTGAATGTTAGTAGTTAGTAAGTAGTATATAAGATTTATGTGTTTGTAAAAATTTTTAATGCCAGACTAAGTTCGGAAAGTGTACGATTACCCCGAATCTAAAAAATTAGATTTGCTTGAATTTGTGGGACCAATTGGTTATGTCCCCCGTAACCAGCTAAGGGAGCTCTCTTAGGTGAAGGATTTTTTTTTCTTTTTTTGAATAGAGTGGCCGATTTTGACCAAAATTCGATGGTATAAGGTGGTAGTCCGAATTATTGACTTTTCGCTAGAACCAGGTGTTAGGAATTTAAAACTTTGACAAAAAATAGTATGAATTTAATAAATTGTTTTAATTTTTTTAAGTTTTTAGATTAATATGAATTGTTAAGTGTTTTTTTGTGAGGGAGGAAAATAGAATGATGTTGCAGTGAGGTAAGTGTGTGTGGAAAGCGGGCTCCTTTAAAAACAACTAAAAATGATGAGGATCTAAGGGTCAAGGTTGGGCGGGCTAAGTGTGGGGATAATTGACACCAATTTCCCTTGTTATGATCGTACGTATTTTGTGATTGTATTTTTTGTTTGTTTGTTTCTAGTCTAGTCTACATCCTTCCCTTTTTAGTTGTTCGACCCCTAGGGCTGATGGTGGCAGGGTTGGGATTTCACCCTAAAGCGGTGCCCTGACTGAGCTAGTTGAAACCCCACCCTATTTCAAAATTCTACCAATTTTAAAAATTATTGTCCTATCGTCCAAAATTTGTAAGTGCAATAAAACAACAGGCACTACATTGGTGCAAAAACATAGGCGCCAAAAACATTAATCTGACGAGGACAAATGAATATATTGATTGTGCAATAATACCTATGCACAGAATAATAGACTAAGGGTTAAATAATTTTAAACAAAACATTGCATTTTCTAGTGCTAACGAAATTGCATCCACATATTTTTATTAAATCTGTGATAATTGTGCAATACTTAGTTTCAGTAATTAGAAAATTAGGATATTATGTTCCACAATTTAGGGTTTAGTGCAATATCTCTTGTTCGTTAATTGCAACAATGAATGTATTGTGTTCATGACCTGTATTTTAGGTTTGCTGTCTTATTTTTGTTATAGTAGATAAAATAGATTAAGGATGACATGTGGGCAAGTGCAATATCTGTTTTGACCATGAGGGTTCATTATATGTATTGTACAATTTCTCTTAACACTAAATTGAAGAAAAATGGCGTGGTGTTATGTCCTTCAATGGTTCTATGTTCTTTTAATGTAATGTTAAATTCTGTCTTCAATACGCCATAGCAACCTTTTTAGGACATTTAAAGAAATATTTTGAATGAAAAAAAGAAAAAAAAACCCACACACTTTATTTCGCATACAACTGAGAACGCATTCTATTATCTCCTTATGTGTATTTGTGTTGTTTCAATTAACTAATTTTGTTTTTATTACCATAAACCTAGATATTTAACCCAAAATTTGTATTCGTTCCATTCTGTGTATTCATCGTACCATTTTTTTTTTGTATATATTTTTTTTATAATTGATATAATAATAATAAAACATATAACCCATTAACCCATAGCAACAGAAGAAGTAAAAGAAATAGGTCGCTGACTTTTGATTCAAGTCGGTCTTCCATTTCGTCACCAATCCCAAAACTTAACAAAAACCCAACAGATACAAACATGCAAAGCACCGAAAACAATCCGACCGATCCCACAATACGGGATTTGTCTGGTTCTATAACCAATAACAATCCTAGTACAAGCGCCGAAGCTAGATTAAACCAAAATACCCCTCAGCCAGCTTTGCAGCCGAATTCATCCCTTAGAAGCTGAAAACATTGTTAGGGGTTTCGTACAAGGGGGAATAAATCAGGCCAGTAATAATTTAAAAGTTTTGGTCCAAGAAAGCGTGAGCCGAGAAATGGGGAAAGTATATGGATTGATCGATAAGCTAAATGAAGCCATGGCAAGGATGTCTATTGGTAACCCAAATGTAGAATCGAAGGAAACTCCTAGACCTCAGTATGAGAATGTTATACCTCAGGCTCCGCCTACTAATGGAGAACACAATTTTAATACATATCGTAGGAATAAAGTTACTCCATCTTGCCTAGGTTTATGTAGTCAAGGAATTAGGGTGGAATGATTTGGACTAAATTTTTCAGGCAGATCCAATAGTCTTGGCGTGAAGGATTTCATTTACCGGCTTGAATATTTCCAGCAACACTATAACCTAGCATGGGATGAAATACTAAACGAATTTCATGCAACAACGCAACAACTGCAAAAAGGACTGGGAATATCTGAAACATGGGTTAGTAAAACGCTTTAAAACCAGGCGAACTTGTTTTGAGGAAATGTTGGACCTCTTGGAACGAAAGCAATTGTCAGGAGAGTCTATTAATACATTCTTCCATGATATCAATTTGATGAGGTCCAAGTTGGAAAGACCAGTGTCCGAATTCGAAATGATATCGCTGGTAAAGAAAATTTTGAGAAAAACTTTATCGAGTATAGTCTACTCCATGCAGGTTTCGTCTCTTGAGCAACTGAAAGTGGAATGTTTAGAAGTGGAACGAACCTTTTTTTGTAAAGAATACGAACCAAAACCACCACCAACCATTAACAGACATGCGAGGGTAAATTCCATTCAGGAAGAAGAAAAGTTAGGCAAGATTTAGATTTTTGAAGAAGATAATGAGAGAGTTGAGATATCTGCCATAAACACGCCATAAATATGTTGGATCTGCTAAAACCCTGGTCACGGCTTTAGAGAGTGCACTTCTTCTCAATGAAGTCTGTTTTGTTTCAAATGTGTTAGGAAAACACAATTACTCCTAAGTGTGGAAACACGTGAAGAAGAACGTGGTTGCAGCGGGGAACGAACGTTTCTTGGAACAACCCGCGGGTCAGAATCCTCAGACCAATTAAAAGACACGGACGACATAATCAAATATTCTAAAATACGAAACTCTTTGCCAGTAGCGGTAAGGGAAGAATATTATGCAAAAATAAGGGCAAAAATCTTCCAAGGAAACAACGTTGAAAGTTAAGAGATAACTTATAACTCAGATAAAACGGATGACATAATCAAATATTCTAAAATACGACACTATTTGCCAGTAGCGGTTAGGGAAGAATATTATGCAAAAGTAAGGGCAAAAATCTTCCAAGGAAACAACGTTGAAAGTCAAGAGATAACTTCTAACTCAGATAAAAATTCTAAACCTAAAATTACAAGGAAAGAAAAAAATGTAAATTTAAGACAAAAACATATACAAAAAAATATTAAAAAAAATCATCTCGGAAGCGATAGTATGATCCCAATATGTAAAAGATCCAAGATCATATGCGACGATAAACCTTAAAGGTAAACAAATTAAAGGTCTCTTAGATTCAGGGGCTACAGTTAGCATATTAGGGCGAAATTGTCGGGAAATTTCAGAAGATTTGGAACTGGAAATTATTCCATATGTTTCGGACGCCCGCAGTGCTTCTGGACAAAAAGTAACTGTAGATCTAGAATATGAGGGCAAAACAAAATAAATTACTCTATTTCTGTGTCCGGACTTGGAGCAAGATTTATATCTTGAAGCAGACTTTTGGAAAGCCTTCGATATAGCTCCGCAAATATTTCCGGTAGAACAAATTGATTCAATATTACAAAGACAAATACATGGTAATTATGAGAGTAAAAATCCAAAAATGCATGATTTAAATGAGAAACAACAAATAAAATTAAATGAAGTCGTCCAAAACTTTCCCGTTTTCAAAGAAAGGGACCTAGGCTGCACCAAAATAGAGAAGCATTCAATAAAGCTGATAGAAGGAGCTACTCCGGCTAAGAATAGGCATTACCCACTGTCGCCAGCAGTCCAAGAAATAGTTTATGAAGAAGTCGATAACATGCTTGCCCTCAATGTCAGAGAGTGATTCAGCATGTGGTGCGAAAACCCAATAAAAATATTTTCTCTTTGGATGCCAGGAAGCTTAATGCGTTAACATTGAAAGACGCTTACCCTTTGCAAACTATAGATGGTATCCTTAGTCGAATAGATCATGGGTTTGAGCCTATAGATCGTAAGCAGCGTCGACTTGAAGTACGCCTTCTGGCAGATAGAGCTAGAAGAGGAAGTGAAACCGTACACTGCACACTGTTCCAGGTCGACCGCTTTACCAATTTATTTTCCTTTCGATCGTTCCCAACGCCTCACTTTCCGCCTCTACCGACCGAGAGGGCCACCTCCCCATAACGTAGGGAGCACGCACACCCCATAGTCCGGATTATAGGGGGTTAGTAGACTTGGGAAACCGGCTACATTAGAACATCAGCCGGTTTAACAATTAAAAAGAATTATAGTATCTAAACTAAACTACAGTAACACTAAACAATACAAATGCTAAGTCACAGAAACTAAGTGTGGCAACTATTTTTTAAACTATGAACGTAGGATAGAGTTTTTTATGACATGCAAGGGTTCACACAAAGAAATCGTGTTATATAATTTATTATAATCAGCACATAAACTTCGGAGAGGATTATTTATTTCATAGTTCAATTTTGCTAATGTTAGTTTAAGTGGTATGTAATAACGTGATTTCGCGAGGGGACATTGAATTTAATTTCACCAGTTAAAAACTCAGAATCAATTTGACCACGCAAAAGTTTGACGATAAAAATACATCTAAGCATTAATCTCTTTTTCTCTAGCGTAGGAAGATCGATAAGTTTAAGCCGATTCTCATAAGGTGGGAGAAGTTCACTTGAATTCCATCCTAAATAAGCGTTTGGTCACATAAGGATCGTCGAATTCCTTTGACCAACGTTTTATAAATTCTAGTAAAGACTTTGCTTTATTAACATAAGACTCAATATGTAAATAAACACGTAATTTATTGTCTAATATGACACCAAGATCAAGAAACGAGTCAACATTATCCAATTTGTTAGAACCTATGAAATAGTTGTAGTTCATATGCTGAGGTCTATACAAGGACAATTTTTTAATTTTTTTTTTTAATTTAATGACATTCCGTCAGCAAACATTATATTTTTGAGTTGCGAATAATAGATGGAAGGTCATTTAAATAAGGTACAAAAAGTAGTGGACCTAAATGGCTACCCTGAGGAACACCAGAAAATACTGTAATATTTTTGGAGAGAGTATTATTAAAAGATACCTTTTGGGTACGGTCATGCAAATAAGACGATATCCATATTAGAAGAATTGTAGAGAAACCCATTAAGTCAAGTTTATATATTAACAATGTATGCACCACCGTATCGAAAGCTTTACTGAAATCAGTATATATAATATCAGTTTGGAGATTTTTTAAGAATACCGTGTGAACATTAGAGACCAGTTCTAAT